CCTGTCACGTCACACTCAGCTCTCACTTCTGCCTCCTCCCTGGCTCGGACTGTGGTCTCCTGGCAGACCTGGCCCACACCTTCCTCCTCCCGGAGGAGAGAGAAAGGCGCAGAGAGGAGGTCAGACTCAAGTCCTGCAGTGATTCACCCACTCCAGCTCCCTTGGCAAATGCGCTTGTTAAGAATGCTTTGGTTCTGGGGCCGGGGACTTAGCTCAGTGGCTTCACCGCCCGCTGCGCAAGCGCAAGGACCTGAGTTTGATCCCCGGTACCAAAACAAAGAATGCTTTGGCTCAAGGCTCTGGACTTGGATTGAGACTGGACTCAGAGGGAAGCGTCTTTCCTCCTGTAGCCAAGACAGAGAGGCTAACTGCGAGGGAAGAGACCCAAATCACCTCTGGCCAGATACCGTGCCCCCAGGTCCTCTCCCTGGGCCTGCCCCCGTGACATGGCTCTCTTTGCCCCAGAACTGGAGCTCTGAAAAGCACAACACCCAGGCTCCTTCCTGGCCTGGCCAAGGCAGCAGAGCCTTCTCCCTCTCATGCGAGATCAGGTTGGAATCCACCAGGGGAGCCTACAGAGAGGAACCAAGAGGACTAAAGGCAAGCAGGCAAACTCCTAGCAAAACAGAACGGGACAGAATGAGGGCGTTGGGTTGATTGGTCCCCCTGCCTAGGGGAGCACATTCAAGTACCACCTTCTAGCCAGGCCCAGTGGCACATGCCTGTGATCCCAGCACCCAGAAGCCCGGGCCGGGAGAATTGTGACTTCGAGGCCAGCCTGGGCTATGGAGCAAGACCCTGTCTCAGGAAAAGGAGAGGAAGGACGGGGCGGGCGGGGGGGGCTGGACATTGTCACCCTGCCTAAGAGAGCAGGTTCGGGAGTCGTCGCCTTCTCTGGACCCAGGGAAGGGGCTGGGCAGTAGCCCCCCCTCCGCCAGGGAGGCTGCAGCTGGCAAGGTGAGTTCACACGGCTGGGGAAGTTGAGAGAGCCCTCATCCCGCACAGGAGGAAGCTCGGACAGCTGAGGAGCAGGTCACCAGAAGGCGGGGCCCAGAGGTCTGCAGGGGGTCCAGGGCTCGGTGCCCTGTCCACAGCTGGATGCACAGGGCCCCTACCCTCCCTATTGCCGGTCATATCCCTACACGGGGTAGGTCACCCTGAGCTGGCCTCTCAGCAACCCAAGCTAGGGACTCCCATTGTTCCTGCTGTAGCAGCGAAAACTGTCCCAAAGAGCCTGTGTCTCTCCCACGCCCACGAAGCTGTTAAGCAACTAATCCAGGATTCAGACTCCAGACAGTGTGAATCTAAACCCAGGCTCGTAGACTCCATAGCATCCTTCTTAGCCTCAGAGCAGGTCATTCTTCAATAGCTGCTGGTAGCAATCCAGCAGCTGACATTTGACAGTACGCCAAGCTCCGTGCTGTGCACTTTACATCCACTATTTCACTCGGTAGGTAGTTGCTGTTATTCCACCCATTTCGTAGACGAGGACACTTGAGAAGTTAGGCGCGTTGTCCAAGGTGCCAAAGCTAACCAGGAAAGAGCTGGGGTGCAGTCCAGGTGGGGGTAAGTGAATGCCTGGAGCACACCCCCACCGGCACCGTGACCAGCCTGGGCTGTCCACGGCCCAGACCTCCCCGGGGCTCTGACAGGTGCTCTCCAGGGATCCAGCCTACAGAGGCCTCCCGGCCACGTTCTGCCAGAGGCAGCTCCTGCCCCAGTGCCTCCCTCGGGTGGGCCAGAGCGGGCCGGCACCCCTTCCCCAGGCCTCTCTGGAGCTCCCCTCGCCACCTCCTGGACTCACAAGTCTGGCACTTGCAACCCGGCTGGGTTTGCGCCCCCAGCATCCAGAAAACCAGAGCGTCTGGGGCCCTCCCCGCTGGGTCCCCAGGGTCTGCCTCCATCTGGGGCGTTCCTGATGGAGGCCTTGCAGGGCAACCTAGCACCTAAGGGCAGAGGGCAGAGGGCAGCAGAGGGAAGCATCCGATGCCAGCCTCCCCTCCCAATCCCCTCACCCTCTGGGAAGCCCAGCAAGTCCCACCCCCACCCACAGAGACTCTCACCTTCAGGCAAAGGCAGATGATGGCAGAGCTGCACAGCCAATGCCCCCATGGGACTTAGGGAATGTGAGTCCCAGGGGGTGAGGGAGAGACAGACTGGGAGAGGAAGGTTGGGCGCTCAGGGCTGCAGACACCGAGATGGAGACAGTTACCAGGAGGGGTTGCAGAGAGAGACCGAGGGAGAGAGGGAAGAAAGGAGACAGGAGGCTGGGAGGGGAGGGCGGAGAGACAGAAGAGCCAGTTGCTTTATTCATGGCTGGAGATATTACAGACTGAGTGAAAATCACATTATCGTAATGGGAAAGTTAGAGTTGCTGAGATGATGCCCTGAAGCCTAGCGCTGATTGGGGCGTGATTGCTATCTGTATTTATATGTAGAAAGCAAAGTTCACTGCCAGTTCAAGATGGTGGTGCTGCTTTATGCAACATAATTCTTCAGTAGAGAGATGCCCCGAGCAAGCCAGCCAGCGAGCCGGTGGGAGTGGGGTCTGGAGCCCCATGGGAGCAGAGCCTGAGCGGGTGCTGGAGCAGGCGCTGGAGCCAGCAGAGCTCAGCTGTGGAGCCAGAGGGAACCAAGGCAGGTGGCCTGCGGGGGGTGGGCCAGAGCTGGGGACAAAGGGGTGAGGAGCCACCCTCCGCCTCCCCTCCAGACCCCTGAAGCCCAGGGTTGGAAAGAAGGGAAACAGGAGGCGCTGGAGCCTCACAGGCAGGGGCGGAGAATCTGTTGGAGCCACACCGAGGAGGATGGGAGTCTTCGCCGTCTTCTGGGGTCAGAGCTTGAGCTTCAGACTGTCTTCACAATGCCCATTTCCTGGCTTCCCCGTGCTCTCGCCTCACGCTCTGGGAGATCCCCACCAGGTGACAGAGCCCAGTCTGCTGACCGAGGCACTGTCCGGATCTCGGAGGCCCAGCGCAGCCAGCGGGAGGGGCAGCCTCTGGCCTGGCCCACTCAGGAAGGGGGCTGTGGGGCAGCCCAGCACCTGGCAGGGCCCAGTCCTCTACTCGAGGCCTGTTTCATTCACACCTTCCTGGGGGCGGCGCGCTGGACCTGGCTGTGACTCCAGCCTAGAGCAGCCAGGCAAACACAGGGCTACTCGCTGAAACTCAAATTTCAGACAAACAAGTAAATTCTGGGTATAAGTATATCCTACACAATATCTGAGATATACTTATGCTCTTGAAAAAACTTGCTTGTTTATCTGAAGTTCAAATTTATTTTTTATTCTTAATTTTTTTGGTACCGGGGATCGAACTCAGGACCTTGCGCTTGCCTGGCAGGTGCGGCGCCACTGAGCTAAATCCCTGGCCCTGAAGTTCAAATTTAACAGGGCATCCTGTATTTTTATTTGCTAAATCTGGCAACCTTGAGCAATCTCAATATTTCAGTGTTTTTGTTTGTTTGCTTTGTGATACTCAGGTTGAATCCAAGACTTTTTTTGAGACAGGGTCTCACTGTGCAGCCCAGGCTGGGCTCCAGCTGGCCTCAACCCCTGAGGGCTGGGGTTAAAGGCGTGCACTGCATGCCTGGTTGAACCCGGGACTTTTGCCCTGAGCTACTTCCCCAGCTCTTTATATTTTATTTTGAGACAGTTCTACTAAATTGCCCAGCCTGGGTGGGCTCCAACGTGGGATCCTCCTGCCTCAGCCTTCTAGAGTGCTGGGATCACAGGCGTGTGCCACCACTCCGGGCTGGTCTCTGGTTTTGTATTAATTTACTGAGGAAGGCAGTGCTGCTGAGTGCAAAGAGCCAGATTTACCGCTTGGTAGTTTTATGGCTCTGACCCAGTTTTTAACCTCAGTGTCCTTATCTGAGTAATAGAAAGTAGTGATACTGACATCCTACCCTGTGTGAGGCTCTGGCTTCCATTGCCCACACTGGGAAAAGAAGAAAAAGCCCAGTCCACTGTCAGACTCAGAGTAAGCACGTAATAAATATCACCCTCTCATATTCCCTCAGTCACCCTTTCCTCCTGTCTCTATCCTAGGCTTCCCAGGTGTCAGATAAAAGGATTCTGTTGCCCTGGCAGGCCAGGGACAGAGCTGGTCTCGGGCTGGCTTCTCCCTCATGGGGGCCTGACCTGGCAAGGTTGGCTGAGGGTTCTGGAAAGCGATGCAAGGGTGAAGCAGGCCCTACAGATAAGCCTCTCCTCGGCCCCAGACCAAGCCCCACATGTTCCCAGCCAGCTCTCTGAAGCTTCCAGGTGAATGGCTTCCAAGCTGCCGTGTAGAAAGAGGAGGCCTGGTGGTGACACCTGTGTGGCCACCAGTGCTGCCTGAGCAGCGTCTGCCCTGCCGTCCGTCCTGGCCTGGGGTCTGGCCTAGCCCCCACCCTCTGGCAGAGGCCGGTGTCCGGGAGACAGCAGTTGGAAGTTGTGACACGGGGCCCCTGCCTCGGGTCTCCCTCCAGCTCTCCTGTGTGCCTCAGTTCAGGACCCACTGGTGAGAGAAAGAGGCAGGGTGTAAAACAGGGGTTCTGAAGTCAGCCTGGGGTGCAGTCTCACCTCTGTCCCAGTGCTCTCCACAGAACGACGGACCCGTTTCCTTGCCTTGCTGAGATGTTCCCGACTGCACGCCTCAACCCTACAGGGCCAGCTTTCGTCTCTGAAAGAGTTTACTGGTTCAGGAGCCAACCTGTGAGCAAATCTCTCGTGGAGGGGCATGGCAGCTACCCTCTCCTCAGTGCCAGGCAGGCACACACATGGGCAAGGGCAGGGGGTGTGGAGCGGTGGCTGCACTTCAGAAGCACAAGCACAGACGTGGCGCTCGTGTTCGTTTCCCCCTGTGCTCAGCAGGCCAAATGCCCAGGCGGGCCCACTCTGGCCTGTGGTCAGCTCCCTGTTTCCTGTTCTTTTTTTTTAAGTTTTTTTTTTTTTTTGGTACTGGGAGTCGAACTCGGGTCCTTGTGCTTGCACAGCAGGCGGCAAAACCACTGAGCTAAATTCCCGGCCCTTGTTTCCTGTTCTTGCTGTTGACACACCTGTCCCTTGCCAAGAACTGACGCGGGGTAGAGACATTCCGTGTGCGGGGACCCGCTGACCCAGAAGATGCAAGGAGCCTCCTGTGTGTTCAGCAACGCCAGAGCCCCGAAGGCACAGAGGGCCCTGTGGAAAGCACAGACGCGGATGCTCGATGCCTGCTGTCCTCTGCCCACTGCCCAGCTCTTGGGCTGCTCTGTGCTCTGCACGGGCCACACCTGCCGTGCCCAGCCCCCACCCTGCCGCTGCTCTCCCCTCCCCACGTGGAGTGCGTGGAGCAGAAGGGCTGGGGTGGAGCCCCAGGGCTGCTCCTGCTGCTCCAGGTCTCCAGGGCGGAGGGAAACACGCCTTTCCCCCAACCCTCCACGCCCAGCTCCTCTGCTCAGGCACCAGTTAGGAACTCAAGCCTCCCCCAGAAGCTCCTAAAATCTCCTGGTGCACAAAGAGCCATTGACAGTTCCCTGGCTCCAGGCAAGGCCGACAGTCTTCCTGACCAGGAGTGTCCACACCCTGTGGCTGGAATCGGGGAGTGGGACTCTGATGGTTGAGCTTCAAGCCCACCCTGGTGAACACATCAGGATGTGTGGGGACCTCTCCCGAGAATTGCAGGCATCCTCACATCCTGGTTCCTCCCACCCGCCAGGCATTGAGCAGAATCTCCAACACCCAAGTCAGTGACCCCAGAAGGCCCAAGGGGCTCTCCACATTTCTTCTAGCTCATTCCATCTTTAGCCACCAGTGCTGGAACCGAGGAGACCTCTTCCTGGGCTTAATCATTTCAGCAATGCAGCGACAGGTCAGACAGGTGCAAGGCGCAAAAGAAAATACATTAAACTCCCCTACTCTTTCGAAGATTTTTGTTTTCTTCTGGTACTGGGGATTGAGCCCAAGGGTGCTCTACCTCTGTGCTACATCCTCAGTCCTTTCGTTTTAGTTTTTAGTTTGAGAGAGGGACTCAACTTGCAGTCCTCCTGCCTCAGCCTCCCTGGGTGCCGGTACTCAAAGATTTTTGAGAACTGATCTTTGGGCGCTTCACTGGAGCCGTCTGTGCTCCCGCCCTCCTGCTCGAGACCATGAAGTCGAGGCCCGAGGGGCTGCACCTGAGGGAGCGCGCACCGACCACACAGAGCCACCAAACTGGGCTTTACCTGTTCCCTCCAGGCCCAGAGGCCAGTTGGGGGCCTGTCCTGTCTCGAGACACTTGTCCTCCAGGGTAGTGAGACGCGCTGAGGACCGGAGCCTGGCTGCTCCCTTTCAGGGCTCCCAGGCCTCTCAACCCACCTGGGATTGCTGCAACACTGTGCTTTTCTTCCACCCATAGAATGACCCAGCAAGAGGAAGTGGGGTTGGCAGAGAGCCTTCCGCCTGTGCTGGAGAAGAGAGACGCCTCACCTGCCCCAGAGCGCCACCCACCCTGAGAGACAGCCAGGACAGCAGGCGCTGGGCCCACGGGGCTCCTCTGCGAAGCCCGAGGCGGTGAGAGTGACCCTGCCTGGGTGGATGCCCAAGGGAGGTCCCTGAGGAAATGTCGTCGGCTCCCCTGGAGACTCCAGGGTGGGTTGGTGATCCACTCTGCTGCGCTGGTCCCCCAGCACGTGCTGACGCACGCACGTGCGCACACAGACATATACACAGACACACACACACACATAAATCTTAATTGTGTCCGGGGCTTTTTACAGCATTAATTAATCATATTTAGGGCTGTTTCCAGCTGTTGCTGAGGGAAAGAAGGTCCCGCATGCCTGCGACTTAGGGTAAATCCAATCAGATGGAGGAATTCGTTGATTCTGCTGAGGCCAAGCATGGGAAAGTCTCTTGTAATCCCAGAGCCCCCCGACCCCTGCCTGCCTGCCCCTCCCCCCGGGCACAGCCCTGGAGAAGGGAGGGCAAGGGGGGTCGGGGAAGGGAGGAGTGGAGTGGCCACTGGAGAAGCACAGGGCGGGGAGGAGCTGAGCTGGCTGCACTCTGGAGTTGGGGCCTCAGGCTGACCTGAAGTTTCTCCCTCTGTACTTGGGCCTCTTAGAGGGCTGAGAAGGGTCCAAGGCTCCTGAATAGCCACTGGGCTCAGAGTCACTGCAGGAGGCTGGGCCTGGCTGAGTCAGAGCAGCGGGTAGGCAATCGCTGACCCAATTCCGGCTCTGCACAGCCCACATGGCCTGGGGCTGGAGGGGGGGCCTCCCCAGGCCCAGGGCTCGGTGGCCTCTTCTCCCAAGGCCCTGCCTCATCTCTAAGGCCCTGGGGCTTTCCAGCTTCTCTCCATTTCGGGGTCTCTTGCTTTCTCGGGCTCAGGAGCTTGATTTGAGTCTCTTGCGGATCTCTGGGATCCAAGGGCACCACCTCGTATCTTCATGGAGACTCACCTTTCGATAGAGGCATCTTAGGGGGCCCAGGCTGGGACTAGAGCGGCCTCTTTGGTTCATTGCTAGTCACCCACTGGGCTCTCCTGTCAAGCAAATCTGGGGAGGGGCTCCTCACGGCAAAGGGAACACGGAGCTCCTGCCTGACCCCGCCCCAGCACACCCCTGTGGAGGCCTCCTAGGTCCTGGTCTAACTGGGCCTACATAATTGAGGAGCCCATTATAGCCTTGCTGTTTCCTCACTGTCAAGTGTAAATGCTGCACTGGTCGGGTGGGGAAATGGGGCTAATTTGAATTGATAATAGGAAACTCGGGGAAAAGTCATCTATAGTGAGTGAGGAGCGGAGCGATCCCCGAGCAGATGCTAAATCTTGTATAATGAAAGAATCTGCCGATGTCAATTATGTACGAGCATCTTTGCAGTGGTTGGAGGCAGTGGGCGGGTGAGGCAACGGAGGCTGGGTGCATCCCATAAACCCAAACACCCATCACAGGCTCATACATATGGAGCGGCGGAGATTACAGCATAAATTTGAATGTTATGAATGTGCATGAGCGACAGGCAGGAAGCTCACCTCGCCAAGGCAGGAAAGGCGCTGCTTCCCGGGTTGTGTACAGGAAGCTTTTGTCCCCTGGATCCTCAACTGTGCCCACTCTGTACCCAATTGTGTCCCACAGAGAAGAAAGACAGCAGGGAAAGGTCAGCTGTGCTCCTGGGACTGGAATGTGGATGCCGGGGGAGCTCTGGCCTGAGCAGCCCTTGCCCCATTGAAAGCCACGGGATGAGACCCAGAGGCCAGTGTGGCCAGAGATGGGAGGGACATTAGAATCCGCGCTCCTGCCGACACAGCTTGCCCTTGCCCAGCGGAAGAGACAGGCTGGACCAGGACAGCCAGTCTGCAAGGCAGCGACTACAAACGCACGGCCAGAGGTTCCTGGAAGACCACGTGGAGGAAGAGGCCACAGCTGCCAACAGAGGGGGCCAGCGCCTCAGTGTGACAACACCAGGGTGGGCCTTCCAGCTTGGAAGCACAAGTCCACGCCACTCCTGGGAGTGTGTCTGTGTAACAGGGCCCAGGCCCCTCTGCTGGTTTCCAACCTGCAGTGCTCTCTGAGCAGACTCTGTGATTTGCGGTGCAGGCCACCCAGGGACTTTAATCTTCACCGTGACAAATGCAATAAAAGGAACAATTTGGAGATCAGGGCTAAGGAAGACACATTTACAAACCCTTCCCCAAAGGTTGGATGGGGCTGTCACCGTGTGATTTGTGCCCGAGATGAAGCAGGGAGGGGAGGCACAGCTGGAGGCAGTGGCTGGGCTGGGCTGAGGCAGCATCCCCAGCTCTCTCCTCCTCACCCCTGCGGCAGCACAGTGGGGTGGGCTGAGCCCAAGCCCGAGGGGCGAGGGGCGGCGAGGGCAGCCACCGCCGCCTCCCCCCCCCCCCCCCCCCCGGGCGGCGTACGGGGGGGTGGGCTGAGCCCAAGCCCGAGGGGCGAGGGGCGGCGAGGGCAGCCACCGCCGCCTCCCCCCCCCCCCCCACACGGTCAGGGACACATCTCAATTACCAAGGACACAGGCCAGAGCCGCAGAGCTGGGGATTCGTCTCAGCAGCTCTGGAGCGCTGTCTAGGGAGGCAGGCAGAGGCAGGGTGGGAAAGACGTCTTAATAGCAAGACAGTGACATCTCGTGCTGCAGAGGGAGTCCCTCAGAAGTCCTGGTCGGGGGCAGGAAAGTGGAGAGGTTTTCCCAGCCGGCAATCTGGAGGAATGCAGACAGGAGCAGCGGGGGCGGGAACCCTTAATCTGGGGGCAAATCTGTGGGGGGGGGGCAGGCAGGTGAGCCTGGGGCGCCACAGGATGAGGCCGGACTGGGCCCTGGGAGCCGGGCTGGTGGGCAGTGTGAGGCAGTGACATCAGTGACTGAAGCCCTTCCCCACTGCGTCCCCTTCCCTGGGGGTCTGCCAAACAGGCTGGGTCACATGGTGTGGCAAGTACTGGCCCACCTCAGATTCTGCCTCTCGGGGTCCCTGCTTTCTTGGAGCCAAAAGCAGGCACAGGATGAGAGATGGGAAGCAGCCCAGTACCCCGCCCCAGCCCTCTGGTGACTGTCCTGGCCACTGACGGGTCTTTCCTGCGGGGCTCTCAGCTCCGCTCCAGGGTTTGGGCGCACCATTCTCTCAGCCATTCTGCCCAGTAAGAGGACAAGATGGTCTCCTTGCCGGGTGTAGTGATGTGGCCTCTCCCAGGACTCTGGGAGGCTGAGGCAGGAGGGTTGTAAATCTGAGGCTTAGGGACTTAGAGAGACCGGTCTCAAAAGGAGGGTATAAAAAGAGGCTCACTACAAGGACGAGACGGGGGTCTGCCTTTTTGGCCCTCCTTGTCCTCGAACGACCTGTTCACCCTTGCCTTTCTTTTAGACAAGATCACCCTCAAACCAAGACGGGTCTGTCCTCAGCTGCCTTCATCCCTGCCCAGGAGGTGCTGCCTGGCCTGGGGTAGGAACTTTGGAGCCCCAGCTTCCTTCCAGTTTCCTAACTGGGGCTGCCAGCAGGGAGACATCAGTCCTCTTGACGTGCACCCCCACCCCCATCTGCCTATGATCTTCCCAAGACCGACCCCCAACTTCCAACCAGGCCGAGTGCCACACTGGCAGGGCCGTTTCCAGACTGAGAAAATGGCTTTCCCCTCTTAGGGGCCTTCACAAGTCTCCATCTCTGCAGCCCCAGGGGTGACCTGACCCCCAGGGGACCCGGGTGTACCGGGCCTGGTCCTCCCTCCTGCGCGGGAAGCGGGCTGTGCGCACCCACAGGGCGGGAGAGGACAGGAACAGAACGTGGCGACCGCACGCAGCCAGCCTCCCAGCCAGACCGGCCGCTCCACGGTGACAGAGCAGGGCAGGGTCCCGACCGCCCAGGGGCTGTGGAGGCAGAAGGTCGGGGAACTGAAGGAGAGGGGGCTTCCATGAAGGGGAGGAGCTCTGTTCGGCTGCGTGGACGGGCGGGGGGGCCACTCAGGCCCAGCGGGCTCCCGCGAGGTCTTTCCACCAGGGCACCGTGCACGGTGTAGTCAGGGCCCGCGCAGGGCACGTGACTGGGCGCTCACGTGGTCAGGCTCACGTGTCCTCGGCTGCCCATGCGGGGAGGGCAAGCGGCCGCTGCTCCCCTACAGAGGGAGACAGAGATGAGAGATTGGTGGCAGGGATCGGCTCGCACCCGAGGCCCGGGACAGTCGGGCCCAGGAGCTGCGGCCTCAGCCCGAGCGGGGCGGTCCCGCCTGAGCCCAGGGGCGAGAGCCGGGAGTCTGGAGTCCGAGGCCGGAGGCGAAGCAGACAGGCCGGAGGCAGAACAGGTTTGCCGTAAGGGTGCCGCCCGCACTGGTGAAGGCCGAGCTTCCTTCTCGCTCCCCTGGTTCCCGTTCATCCCCCCCACACGTCGCTTTCACATTCTTTTGGGGAAGGGGCCTCACTGTTACCCAGGCAGGTCTCAAAGTCAAGGGCTCAAGTGACCCTCCTGCCTTAGCCTCCCAAGCAGTGGGGAATACAGGTGTGCGCCACCGTTGCCCAACTGACACATAAATTCGGGCTTGCTGGGTGTGGTGGCACACACCTGTAACCCTAGCACTCCGGAGGCTGAGGCAGGAGGAGCGCTGTGAGTTTGAGGCCAGCCTGGGCTACACAGTGAGTTCAAGACCAGCCTGAGATACATACCGAGAGCCTCAACACACCTCAAAAAAATCCTAATAAACTCAACCTTTACAGACATCATCTTCACACCAACCTATGTCGCCCCACAGAAGCCACTACATAAAAGTGGACTAGTAGGTAAGCAAAAGGGACTCTGGAAGCCAAGTATGGTGGTGCACACCTGTAATGCCAGCACTCAGGAGGCTGAGGCAGGAGGATTGCGATGAGTTTGAGGCCAGCCGAGGTTCAAGTCCAGCCTGAGATACATAGTGAGACCCCGTCCAAAAAAGAAGAAGAAAAAAAGAACTCTGGAATGTTCTCTAGGGTGTTTAAATTAAAAAACTTTTTTTTTCTTTTTGCCAGACATGGTATCTCACCCCTGTGATGCCAGCAGTTGGGAGGCTGAGGCAGGAGGACTGCCACAGGCTTGAGGCCAGCCTGGGCTGCATAGACCAGACCCTGTCTTTTTTTTTGGCTTTTTTGAGGCAGAGTCTTGCTATGCAGCCCAGGCTGGCCTCTAACTTGTGGCAGTCCTCCTGCCTCAGCCTCCCAACTGCTGGGATTACAAAGGTGCACCACTGTGCTGGCTTTGGAATGTTCTCTGTTCCCTCCTCAGACAAGGAAAAGGCTGCTTGGTTTACAGCTTGCACCACCACCCCCTCAAAGCTGGGTTGGGCTGGGTTCGGAGAGGAGCAGATCTGAGAATCAGCCCATTCCTGTGAACGCCTTTCCCAGAGGACTTTACCCAAGGCCATGCCCAAACCCACGAGCAGGAGGCAGTGGATGGCGGCTCCAATTCTTCTGCCCTCACCCAGTAAAGGGCTGATTGTTTTGTTTTGTTTTTTTGAACTCACTGTGTAGCCCGGGCTGGCCTGAAACTTGCAGTGATCCTCCTGCCTCAGCCTCCTGAGTGCTGGGATCACAGGCATGCACCATCATGCCTGGACTAGCGTTGATGTCAACCAGGCAACCCTTGGCCTCAGCTCTGCTCTGCCCTGCATGTCAGGTTTAGTCCAGCTCCGAGAGGCCGGAAACCCAGGTGGTGGTGGGAGGCGGGGCAGGGTGGCATGGGCTTTGTGAGGGGTCCTTCCATGCCCATGTCCTCAGGTTATGCCCAGCAGGCCAGGATGAAGGGAAAATCACAAAACCACCAGGGAGGAAGTCTTCTGGGTACCCTTCTTTGTTTATGTTCACACCTATTGATCCTGCGCACCACAATCATATACATACACATGTGCAGGCACATACATGCGCACACACACACACCTTGAGGTCCCTAAGCATGGGACATGCTGTGTGGTGCCTGGTGCACAGCAGGCTGGACTGTAGCTGAGGGCAGAGAGAGTGGACCTGGTGGGGCAAGAGCACGCAGGGGCCGGAGAGAGGGGCAGCAGGCTGGCAAGGCTGGGCAGTGGCCGCCTCCACAGGGCAGGACTCAGACTGCACGGCCCCAGCAGATGCCAAGGAGGGCGCGCCCAGGAAGCCAGCCCCCTGGTCCTGGATGAGAGGTCCCTGCAGCTCCCCAGAGGCCCTGTGGGAAGCCGGGTGCAGAACACTCCAGGTGGGAGTCCTCTTCCCTTCTGCTTGGAAGTGGCTTGGTGCATGAGACTGGGCTGCTCATCTCTACTTCCTTTCCCTCAAAAGGCTGGCCTGGCCTTCTCGACAATGCAGTGGCCCCACGAGAGCCACACCCACCCTGAGCTTCCCTGCCCCTGCCAAAGGTGGCGGGACCAGACTCTGTCTGCTTCAAATCCCAAGCTCAGGGTAGGAAGAGCCAGAGGTGACCCGTAGCTTCTCGGCTGCCTCTTATTTGCCTGCTCCTGACCTAGTAGGGTGTGAAGTCTGAAGCGGTGGGAGGTGGAATTTTGACCTTGGGAGGCCTTCCTCTGCCTTTATCCGTTCACTGCCAGCTCAGTGCCCTTTGAGGTTTGCAGTCGTAAATCTCAGAGTCCCATGCCAGGCTTGGAGCCTGCGACTATAAATAGACACGAGGTAAACAAGGTGGCAGACGCAAGGGCTTGGGACGAGACGGGAAATCTGCCCCTCTGCCTGTCCCGCCAAGGCCCGGGCATCCTCTCTCCTTTCTCACCTCCCTTCCCCGCCTGGCGGCTCTGGCTGCTCGGGATTCTTGTCTTCTCTCTGGAGGTGATCGTCAAGCCCACCTTTTGCTCCCCGTGCCGGCCCTGTATCCTCTTGCCGGAGGATAGATGGACAGGGGCTGAGTCCGATACTCTGAGCGCCCCCGCTGTTCCGCTTAGCCGACCCCAGCTCACGGCAAGTCTTGAGGAGGGTCTGCCTCTGCCAACCACCAGTTTCCGCCACTAGGGGCGCGAAGATCCCTTCTCCATCCTAATAGTCGAAGTGATGCTAACCCTTCTTAAACTAGGAAACTTTCCTGAGGAACAAAGACCCTCACCTCCCACTCACCCCTTGCAAAAGCACAGTGCACAAGCGTGCAATTTTCCTGACACAGACTTCCTGTCGTCTGACGGCTGGCCAGGCATAATGGCGCATG